CTGCTTAAGAAAGATAAAACCTATGAACACCAAATGTCCCTAGCGGACAATCTAAAAACCTGGAGCTCACTGTGGAAGGCGCTCCTGGAAGGAGGGAGGAGTGTGGGCACAGAGAGGGCACCTGGGTCCGCGAGGGGAAATGGGCCTCCCGAAGAAAACTGCAACTGTACAAAATCTCCATCCAGCAGGCAGGAAAAGCAGAATAGTGAAAAATACACTGACTAAATAAACAAATGAAAGATGTGGGATAGCAACTTAGGTTCTTTTACAAAGAAAAGGCTTCAAGAGAGCAGCGGTTAGTGTCCAGTGAAGCAGGAAGATCAAGGAAGAGAGGGGTGGAGAGCTGGATTTGACCACCGGGGTAACTAGTATTTTTCTGTGAGTGCCGACTTAGCAGAATGATGGGAATAGAAATGACTTAGTAGAGGCAAAAGTATGATAAAGAAATTAAACAGCAGGTAAAGACCTTACTCAAGAACTGCAACTGCTAAAGTAGGGTAAGAGCTACTCCTGCAGTGGCTGACATACTGTGAGTTCTTAATACGCTCACTGGCTGAACGAGCAAACAAAAGAATAAATGCGTACAGCAGAATCAAGCAGCATATGGTGGGGGAAAGAGGCTCTGAGGGAGACTTTTCTATGGTTGGAGAGTTGTGTGAGCAATGTGTTTAAAGAAGGGGAGTTTAAACAGATGTCTCCATGTGAGTATAAATTCTTTAATTAGATGGAAAAGCAGAAAAGAAGGCTGAGAATGAAAATCAATGCAGAGAAACTAGCAACCACCACCTTCTTCTACTCTGTTCCTAAAAGAAGGACACAAAAAGCTAGAAGTAAAAGCAGAAACTTTCAGAGGTTGGTTGCACACAGAATAAGAGGAAACACAGCTTCTATTCTTTTGTGGAAAGACCTGGGTTTAAAGACCTTTCCTTCTAGCACAAAATGTAGTCGGAGCTAAAGTATTGGTAAAGATATGAACAGAGGGAATAAAAATGCCTACAAAATACTGAAGGCAAGTTCACTAAGGATAAATCATATGACTATGGAGACTGGGCAATTTCACACACAAAGTCCCCCACGATGTGTTGTACAAACGAGTGAGCTTCACCTGAGACAACACTAAGTACCATACAGCAGGTAAGTGGCGCTAGTCTGCAAGTCAAGAATACTAACATATTTGTAGATACATAAAAGTGGTCCAAAAGTTATCAAGACAAATATATGGAGTATACTTACCAATATGGACAAAGTCTACCTAAGACGTTTTATTAGGCAGCACAATTTACAAAACTCTGCACAGAGCGAGCTAAGAAACTTAAGAGCACAGGTAATATTCCTGTGTAATAAAACTAGGTATTTCTCATTTTAATTCCTTCAATACAGGCACTGAAAAAAAGAAAATTGAAGAACTTTTTCAATAATAGGGAAAAGTGGTAATCAAGACTTGGAGTTAACGAATAAGTACAAAATAAAAAAGAAAGCTATAGTACTTATAATAAAAGTAAAAAAAACTGGTTCTTTCCAAAAATTTGAGAAGTTCCTGGCAATAAACCCAAAATCAAAGACATGTAATCTGCCCATGAAAGAATTATGATTAAAATTTAAGGTGAATAACTCTTTTCTGTGCTAATAAAAATCGAAATAAGTTTTGGTAGATAAATTATTTTCTTGTAAAATAAGCATACAGTAATTCTGACACTGCTATGGTGTGGTAGATGCTCTAAAACTGACATACACTCACAACATCTATATAAAATAGCTGATACAAATATGTTACATGTATATACATAAAATATTAGCTGGTAAGAAACCCTGAAGGCAAAACTCAATAAGTAGCTACATTTTACAGAGTTATACACACACAAAAAAAAAACATTTTTATTTAATAGCTTGACAGGGCTCAAAGATTAAATCATGTTTCCACATGTACTAATAGAAGATCTTAAAATATGTAACTAATGCGAAGTGTCATCATATATATACATAATCAGAAACATAATTCTCATGAAACACTGGGAGTGGGGATAGGGAACAGACATAGGATAGAACTATATGCAGTAGTTCTCTTACTTCTATTAGTAAACATCTCCCAAGCATTTTTACATCAAAGAAATCCTCATAAAATATCATATGAATAAGAAACACTAAATCACACTGTGCTCTTCACTTTCTACAGTTTGAATTAAGATTTAGAGTTAGTAAGCCTGGACTCCAAAATATAAAAATGTCCATGTACAGCAACCTGAGGACACAGAGATCCGTGTAGTGGTTGCCCCCGGGCACAGGACTACAAATTGGCACACAGCTTTCCAGGGTGACGGAAACACCCAGTTATCGTCACTGGGGTGTTGGTGACACAGGTCAGACATCTGCCAAGATACAGGAAACTCACTTAAACCTGTAAATTCTTCTCTCTGTAATTGTATCTCAATTTTTTTAAAAAGTATTAAAAAAAAAAGGCCCAGGTATAAACAGAGTTAGATTACAGGGAACATACCTACCACCTCAGGAAAAAGGATATGCTAAAATGGGAATAAGGAGCAACCTTAATAGACAACATATGCAATCACCTAACTATTCTTCTCAAAATGCCTACTAAACATCCCACACTATTAAAAATGATTTAATTCTATTTCACAAAATATTCTCAAAAAGTAATTCACTTACATTCAGCACCACACAGTGAGTCAATTTGTTTATTTACTGGTAGTGCATTTAGCAACCAACTCGTCATAGCAGATTCACTAAGAAGCTGAACTGCTTAATGTCCAAAAGATATTCAAGGCAGCACCACTGAGGGTTTTACCTGATGAACAAATGCACTGCTACTACCCATGACAGACAAGCTAACACTGTTCTGTTCTAAATTCTTTACCCACAGAAGCTTTTTTGGATCTCACAGCAATGTACAGAAGCAGATGCTCTTGCTATTCCCTGAGGTTAAGGATTCTGTCAAGACCACCCAGGTCCAACTGCGACCTCTGACTCTACAGACAACTTTCTTAATCGCTTTGTTCTACTTCCTCTCTAGAATCAGTTGCCTTGAAGTTTTCTAGGCTAACATAAAGTTGTGCTTTATAGTATGGAACTTGGGGTAACTTCACCAATTACTTACTGACTGTGTTGCACAGCAGTCCCAGAACAATTTTCAAAGAACAATTCTGTCTTTGCTTTCAGGTACCCACAGGCCTGCCAGAATGCTGGATGGGATATCTGCATGATGAGCCTTCTCTATTCTTTTTTTTTTTTAAGTAAATCTTTATTGTCTACTCATGTCATTTTTGAGTGCCCCCTAACCTTATTTCTCACAACAGAACACCTGGAGGAAGAGCTCTGTGGTGTATGGAGCATAGAGAGCATTCTCTGGTAACAAGTACTAATCAAAACTGCCTTGCATTCCAAAATAATAATTCTTGTTTCAAGAAGTTGACAGTTGGAACCATGCAAATAGTGTTCCAATAAAATTTCAAAGACTGCATATTACTTAATCATTGTTTTCAAAATCCTTACATTTTTAGTAATATAGAACCTTGCTGTGTATCTGTAAACTATTGCATAGAAAACCAGTGTACAGCTGCCCTCCAAATGGGAAGTTCAGCTCTAAGTTACAGGAAAAGAACAGTGCCCACCTCAAGTAACCAGCTAGTCAACTCCTTTAAATAGCCTGGTTGGGAAAAATACAACTTCTGAAAAACTGAATTGTCCAGGAAGTTCATGTCTGTCCTTAGTTTGAAATGAACCATTAAAAAGGCAGTACACTTTGGGTCTTGAATGTTTTGTACCTCCACAACCCATTACAAACACCAATAACATTCTCAAGCTACACGTCACATTTTCTTGAAGACACCTAAGAAACAAGAAATCTTTGCTACCACAATTACTACAGAGACGCTATTAAGAACACTGCCTTAATATGAAATGTTCAAAAACCCTGCTTCCTTGATATAACAAGTAAATTTTCTCCTCAAGGATCTTGAAAATGCCTATCATATTTCCTTTTATGCCCTAGCCAGCAGAAGTCTCAAAAACTTATTTAAGACTGAACTAAATAAATTTTGCTTAACTTCAAAGTCTGAAGATGTCTTTTCCTTTGAAAATTTTTGAGGTTTAATTTTTTTATTATTTAAGTCTTTGCTCCATTTGGCATAAATATGTCTTCTGTATAGAAATCTTATTTTCTTTAACCAAATCTGTACATCTTTTATGACCCACTCCCCCAGCATCTATTCTACTCTCTCTGCCCTGACCTCATCCCACCCCTGCCAATTTTTGTGTTCTTTGTTTTTTTTCTAATTGTGAGGTATGCATGAGTATCACTGAGGTTCAGCTACATATATTTCTTTACTCAGCCTTCAAATGACTACAAGTAATTTGAAAAGGGTTTAAGAAAAAAGTGGTGCAATTTCACTGTGAGTTATAAAATAAAACAAGTAGAAATAAACATTTTTACATTAGCAGTCAACCTTAATGTGTGTGTGAGAATTCAAGACTGTCATGCTGGAAAAATGGCAAACCCTTAAAATTATAAATGTATCTCTAACAAAGCTAAAGCGCTCAAACCAAGTCCCAATGAGGCGTCAGAGCACCTGCTAACTGGGATGTCTCCGGACTGTTAAGCCCTGTCTGAAAATCAGGAACACTTCCGTCCAGAAGGGAGGCCCTTCCGGTCAGTTCTTAGGCTCGAGGTGGCCTGTTCTTTACCCAGCGCCCTCCACCAACAGGAGAACCAAACAGACTGTGTATGGAGTTATGCGGGCAAAGTTCAACACGAGGAAAAGGAATTAATTTTTAAATACTTTAAAATCAACATTCTGGATAAAAATAGATCAAAAAACTGAATTCACTTCAGACCCAAGAAAAAAGAAGTACTTGTGAACTGACAATTTAAATCACACACAAATTTTATATAACATATGCTATTTTTCAATGTTAATCCTTAGGTGCAGATAAATAAAAATCTATTTTAAATATTTTAAATAATTAATCAGTAAGGAAATATTCACCTGTATCTGTTCTGGTGTCCATTGGTCTAGGTTGACTGACTTGACCCTGGATATATGAACTCCAAGATTTCTATGGATTCCAGCGCATCTGATGCAAATAAACACACCAATGTTCCAGGAAGCCCAGCGGGGACCTAATTAAGGAGAAGTAAAGAAAAGCAAACATTAAAAACTAAATTAAATATCAAGACAACGTAAGTATTCTGTATTTTTATACAGCAATAATGGAGACTTACAGAATTTACATGCCCCAGTTTTAAAGTGGCACCGGCACTGGCTTACTAGGAAGACATGTGTGTTGGCTATACTAAAAGGTCAAAAACCAACCTTCAAAAGAATTAATGAGTTTATGCTAATTTTGTTTTCCTAGAAACTTTCCCCAAAATATAAGAATTTAAAACTATGTGAAATTTGTTTTTGCTCAGCATATTGCCATAGTTAATATTTCATAGTAAAAATAAGTTAATTTATTAAATGTAAAAGGCATTGCTTGAAAGATAATCAAACAAATGAAAATCAAAGAGATTTTTTAAATGAAATGTAGAAATTAGTAAGAAATAGACCACCAACCTAATTGAAAAATGGGTAATTCACTGAAGAAATGTGTGGCCAATAAACATATAAAAGCATGCACAACCTCACTGATAATTCAGGGAAATGTTGTTTATTATTCAACAAACCCATTTTGCATTCAACACATTGGGAAATATTTTTTTAATCAATTAATACTAAGTATTAGCAAGGATGAGAAAGAATAAGGATTGCTTCAAGAAGCCTTGAATCTCAAATATATCCCTGTCAGTAAGAAAGGTTACAGCCAAACTGAGCTGTGCTATAAAATGTTAGTTTTTGGGTCTGAAGAACACTGCAGATAAACTCATGTAAGAATACAAGCCTTGATTCCAGGGAAAAAGACGGTGGTGTGAGAAGTGAGGCAGAAACCTCCTCCCAAAACCACATACAACACAAAAATACAGCAAATACAACTAATCCTGAAAAAGTGGCCCAAAGACTGCAACAGATTGCCCACATCTGGGGAAAAGAGAAGACCTCACAGAAAAGGGTAAAGTAGCAAAGCCACAATCCAGTGGGATGCATGTCCCCCCACCTCCACCCAAGCTCACCAGTGGGAGGAAGAGAAACAGAGTGGGGAGGGAGTGGAGGCCCAGGACTGCTAAACACCCACCCCTGGAGATCTACTCCAGGAGCACGAACCCACATTGCATGGTGCTCTGGAGATTAGAGGGGCTGGAAAGCAAAGACAGGTGGATTACTCAGAGAGACTGAGATTCCAGCCGCTTGAGGAGAGCAGGTAACCACAACCAGTCGCTCTGGGAGAGAGAAAGGCGGCCCTCTGAAAGGCTTCCCAACAGCAAGAGGGCTGCTAAAGCGTCAAGGGTTACACAGAGCTTGCCGCTCAGGAGAAAGGACAACACTGTCCTGGCGCACTCAGCCCAGCAGGTTGGGAACTTTCAGGAGCTTCAGGCGCTCCAGCCCCCTGGCTGGCAACGGAGCTCCGAGGCCCCCACCACAATACACAGGCAGCTGCTCCTACATCCTGGCTGGAACCTGCTCACAAACCTGCTGCCTCTGCCATCACACCAGGCCAGCAGGAGGGCAGACCCACCTGTGGCAGCTACAGGGGCCTAACGCAGAGGCTGCTTCCTGCGCTCTGGGCCCACTGGCCCTGGCAGTGGGGGGAGGCACTGTGGCAGGGAAGCAAGAAAGAGTCTTTCCTCCCGACAGGCACCGGTGCTGCTTGCCTGCAACCTGAACCATTGCTCCAAGATCTGGGCAGCTACAGAGAACAGAGCTTCTGGGCACTAGGGTGTGCCACCTACACAAAGTTATCATTCCATAGTAATCATTACAAATATGAAATGGCCAAAGAACCTTGTGCAAACCACAACTCTCAAAAAAACAGAAAGAGGGCTAAGTGAAGCTGAAATCACTAATTTCCCTGAGAAAGATTTCAAAATAAAAATCATAAACATTCTCACAGAGCTACCAAAAAATATTCAAGATTTCAGGGAGGACTTCAAGAAAGACATAGAAACTTTAGAAAAAATCTAATACCCGTCTTCCTTAAAGTTTTCCAAGTAGAAGAGGAGGGAATACTTCCAAACTCATTCTATGAGGACAGCATCACTCTAATACCAAAACCAGGCAAAGACCCCACAAAAAGAAAATTACAGATCAATATCCCTGATGAATACAGACACAAAAATCCTCAACAAAATATGAGCAAACCAAATTCAGAAATACATCAAAAAGATCATCCATCACAACCAAGTGGGATTTATTCCAGGGATGCAAGGGATGGTACAACATTTGAAAATCAATCAACATTATACATGGCATCAAAAAGAACAAAATTCACATGATCTCCAGAGGTGCTGAAAAAGCATTCAACAAAATTCCACATCCATTCATGATAAAAACTCTCAACAATATGGGCATGGAGGGCAAATACCTCAACATAATAAAGGCTATATATGACAAACCTACAGCCACCATCATACTTAACAGTGAGAAGCTCAAAGCTTTTCCTTTAAGGTTGGGAACATGACAAGGATGCCCACTCTCCCCACTTTTATTCAACATAGTTCTGGAGGTCCTAGCCATGGCAATCAGACAACACAAAGAAATAAAGGGCATCCAGATTGGTAAGGAAGAAGTTAAACTGTCACTCTTTGCAGATGACATGATATTGTACATAAAAAACCCTAAAGAATTCACTCCAAAACTACTAGAACTAAAATCTGAATTCAGCAAAGCTGCAGGATACAAAATTAATACACAGAAATGTTGCATTCCTATACACTAATGATGAACTAGCAGAAAGAGAAATTAGGAAAACAATTCCATTTATAATTGCATCAAATAGAATAAAATACCTAGGAGTAAACCTAACCAAGGAGGTGAAAGACCTATGAAAACTACAAGACACTCAGGAGAGAAATTAAGTAAGACACCAATTAATGGAAATACATCCTGTGCTCATGGATAGGAAGAATAAATATTGTCAAAATGGCCATCCTGCCTAAAGCAATCTACAGATTCATTGCAATATCCATCAAAATACCCACAGCACTGTTTAACAAACTAGAACAAATAGTTCTAAAATTCATATGCAACCACCAAAGACCCAGAATAGCCAGAGCAATCCTGAGGAGGAAGAACAAAGCTGGGAGATTATGCTCCCTGACTTCAAGCTCTACTACAGCCACAGTAATCAAGACAATTTGGTACTGGCACAAGAACAGACCCATAGATCAAGGGAACAGAATAGAGACCCCAGATATAAAATCACACATATATGGTCAATTAATAAATGATAAAGGAGCCATGGATATACAACGGGGGAAATGATAGCCTCTTCAACAACTGGTGTTGCAAAACTGGACAGCTACATGTAAGAGAATGAAACTGGATCATTGTTTAACTCCATACAGAAAAGTAAACTCGAAATCAATCAAAGACCTGAATGTAAGTCATGAAACCATAAAACTCTTAGAAGAAAACATAGGCAAAAATCTCTTGAATATAAACATGAGCAACTTTTTCCTGAAGACATGTCCTCAGGCAAGGGAAACAAAAGCAGAAATGAACAAATGGGACTACATCAAGCTAAAAGGCGGCCTCTGTTCAGCAAAGAACATCAGCAGAACAAAAAGGCATCCTACAGTATGGGAGAGTGTATTGGTAAACAACATGTCCCATAAGGGATTAAAACCCAAAATATATAGAGCTCACACGCCTCAACACCCAAAAAGCAAATAACCCAGTTAAAAAATAGGCGGAGGATATGAACAGACAGTTCTCCAAATAAGAAATTCAGATGGCCAACAGGCACATGAAAAGATGCTCTACATCACCAATTATCAGGGATATGCCAATTAAAACCACAATGAGATATCACCTCATACCACTTAGGATGGCCAACATCCAAAAAACAAGGAACAACAAATGCTGGAGAGGATGCAGACAAAGGGGAACTCCTACACTGTTGGTGGAAATGTAAATTAGTTCAACCATTGTGGAAAGCAATATGGAGGTTCCTTAAAAAACTAAAAAAAATAGAAACACCATTTGACCCAGGAACTCCACTCCTAGGAATTGACCCAAAGAAAACAAGATCCCTGATTCCAAAAGACACATGCACCCCCATGTTTACCACTGCACTATTTACAATAGCCAAGATATGGAAGCAACCTAAGCATCCATCAGTAGATGAATGGATAAAGAAGACATATATAATATACCATAAAATACTATAAAAAGAAAACAAATCCTACCATTTGCAACAACATGGATGGAGCTAGAGGGTATTATGCTCAGTAAAATACGCCAGGTGAAGAAAGACAAGTACCAAATGATCTCACTCATCTGTGGAGTATAAGAACAAAGCAGAACTGAAGGAACAGAACAGCAGCAGAATCACAGACTCCAAGAAGGAACTAGTGTTACCAAAGGGAAGGGAGTGGGGAGGGAGGGAGAAGGGGAATTATGATTAGCATACATAATGTAGGTGGGTGACAGGGAAGGCAGTACAGCACAGAGAAGACAAGTAGTGACTCTATAGCATCTTACTAGGCTGATGGACAGTGACTGCAATGGGGTGTTGGGGTAGTGGGCTTGCCAATATGGGTGAATGTTGTAACCACATGTTGCTCATGTGCAACCTTCGTAAGATTGTGTATCAATGATACCTTAATAAAATAAATATATGAATATAAGCCTCAACTGTACTATTCTTCATACCTTTCAATATATTTTCTTAGTAATTTTAAGTGTTCTTATGATTATTTTCCCATATTGCTTGTATACTTAAAGTAAAAATGGAAAAATAAAAGTAATAGTTGTTGTCAAATATTCAGAAACTAATACCTAGCAGATTTCTATAAATCACTTGACTGTGAAGAAATATATAGAGATATCAATAGAAAACAGGCTCTTTTAAAATTTAGGCTTTTGTTTTAAGTAGATATTTTTTATCTAAAGGTGAGAGTTAATCTACAAAAGTAACAGTGAAGCCAGTAATTACAATGCAGAAAACTAAACACATCCCCCAAAATTGCTTAGGAGGAAGGTTATGCACACACTATTTATACCAAATCACCTGCTTTTAAGT